TTTTTTTTTTGGGCCTGAGACGGTCTAACCAACCAATGCCATGTAGAACACTTTCCCCACATGGCTCACCCACTGAGTACAAAGGTCGATGATTCAAAGCAGACCTTGTACAAGTTATGGTTCCATCGTATCCTCCGATGACCCTAGCTCGACTTGTACACCATACCTTCATTATGACTTTCTACCGACCTGAACGCTCTCCGTATGACTTATCGGTTTCACCGCTCTAGTTGGTCTGTTTCTCGGGTCTAGCTGACCCAGTATGATATCCCATATCACAATTTATTTCGATGAAAAAAAAAAACAAAAGGTTAAAATATTAGGCTAGCCCTAATATATTGATGATTCAAAATAGTAGTTTTGTGCCATTAAATTATGTGAGTACAAACTCAATAATACATGCAGCTGCATGATAGTTACCACACTATAGTATTCCATATGACCAGAATAAATGAATTCTACATTTATCAAAAGTTTGTTACTTGTTATCAGCAAGGCAGAGAAATAAATGAAGTTAACCAATTAAAATGGTGGGTCTTTAGCTCATTCTTACATCGATCTCTCTCCTCGTACACAGACACCGGTGCATGTGGCTGAAGTTAATTACAAACTATATATTAACCTCCCCAAAAATTAAAGGGAAATGTTATAGTCTCCTTATGGAACCATTAGGTCGAGATTTATAACCATTAATAATATCATGTAACCATCGTGGATAATTAATTAATTTACCAATTACAAACTCTCGACGGAATGGTTCTGTAACGTGACCGTAAATCATTAAACGTCATACTAATGATATATGTCAAATAATAAGAAAATGCTACAGTCTTGTTACGGAAATATTCCGTCGGAATTTGTAACCGTTAGATCATCATGTAACCGTTGTGGATAGTTGATCTAAAACGGTTACAAACCCCGACCGACGGAATGATTCCGTAACGGGACCATAGCATCTTCCCAAAGAATAAATAATAATAATAAAAAGTTAAAAAGTCAAAAGGAAGTCAAGTCATTTCACAATTTGATGATCATCATCTGGCTAGCAGCTGCTAACAGAGTGTGGAAAAAAGGGGTGTCATGACGAGTGAACAGTGAGTTTGATGTACATATGTAGAAGGAAGGAAGACTTTTTTATTTTATTTTATTTTATTTAAAAGAAATAAAAAAAAATGATGTAAAGTAAAGAGAACAAATGTGAACAGTAAATGATAAGAAGGAGATAGAGCCAAAACAGTGATGTCTGTGTGTGTGTGTACAATACATAATCTTTCTGGCCCCCGACCAGAGCTCACCCATACCTATGCATTTGCTGCCCCCTTCTCTGTTTTTTTTTTGGTTCATATTCATGCTCTTTGTTTCCCAATAAATTATTATACACACACACACACCAAACAGTGAAATGCACCTAGGCTTTGTATCTATCTGTCTGTATATATCTGTCTATTTATTTAAATCTCTCTCCCTCTGTCTCTCTCTCTCTGTATATATACATATTTTTCTATGATTTTTTTTTTTAATTATTTAATTTTGAGAGAGACAACAACATGATATATCCCAACCCTAATTCCCTGCAGCCCCCATGTCTTTGCCAGTGGCTTATCCCTTTACTGGTGTGAGTGAATATTATCATCAAAATGTTAGATAATTACATATTTTTGTGTT